TTATTATACGGCTAGTTATTTATATATTTTTGAATTGGGCTATGTTAATTTGTAAAAGTTAGGAATGAAATGTCATTAGTTGTATTTTTGGAGTGTTACTGTAAATATTAAAAAAAATTAATTATAGTACGGAACCGAATCTAACCGAACGAAACAGAACCGAACACGGACGGTTCCATAATTATATTTGGACCTGACGGATCCAATTATTTCAAGAGTACAATTGTCAAATCGCAATAAATGCACTTTTTCTCATTCATGTAAAAGTTACGAATGAAATGTCATTAGTTATATTTATGTAGTGTTGCTGTAAATATTAAAAAATTTAATTATAGTACGGAACCGAATCTAACCGAACTCGAACAGTTCCATAATTATATTTGGAGCCGACAGTTTCATTTATTAAATACAATAAAGTTTTGGGTCGGGTCGGGTCGGGTCGGGTCGGGTCGGGTCCTACTATTAATCCAAAGGGAGAAATTCATGGATCGGGTATTAACTTTGACATTTGTAAAAATCAGGTGCTAAAGTTTCAAAATTACAAAAATCGGGTTTTTACTTTTTATTAATTAATTAAATATTTAATTGTGCAATTTGGTCACAGATATCTTATTAATTGGTTTAAAATTAATTTCAGGTCACATCTTATCAAATTAATTGATCACAAATTATTTCGAGGTCACAAATCAAAAAATTTATAGGTCACAATTGACTTCGTTGGTTACAAATCAAGAATTTTATGGTCACAAATTATTTCTCAACCATGAATTAAATTTTTTTATTGGTCACAGATTAAAAAAAATCAAAACTTTTTCTGAGTCACAGTCACAATTTATAGGTCATAGACACCCACCCCAACTCATCTCATCCCCCCTACGATCGTCGCCACGAGCACCCCCATACCATTGCACACAACCAACAACAAAATCCCTGTTACCAGATCCAATCGACCTCAAACAAAAATCATAACAATCTCCAGCACCAATAATATCGCCGTCACCACCACAACCAACATCCCAACCACCACCAAAATATAAGATCCACAGGACCACCACCACCAACACGACCACTGCCAACAAAATCACTGCACAACCACCACAAAACAAAGAACCAAAATCACCACCACACAGTGCCACGTCGTTTTGAAATGAAGAAATGATAGAGAATCATCAATGGAGAAATACACGAAATCACCTGGCGAATACGTCATGAATGATCCAAAACTCTTCCCACCACACATCCACAGCAGTAGTGTCGAGGCACTGCTAAATTGCAGCAGCGCCTCGACGCTATGAAAGGCAGCTCGCAACGCTGGCCGACAGTGGCGTTGCGACGCTACTGTGAATCACAGAAGTGTCTCGACGCCAGTAGTCGCGCGCGACGCTGCTGTCACAATAGCGTCAGCGTCGCTGGGTAAAGACATGAGGGAGGGGGAGGAGAGGAGAGGAGAGAAGGGGAGGATACGAGAACGTCGGCAGTCACGTTGCTGGGTGGAGAGGGAAGGAGAAGGTGAGGAGACGGGAATGATAAATTAGGGTGGAGACGGGATTGATAAATTAGGGTTTTAATATACTGCCTGATATTTGCAAAAATAAACTTGAAACCTAATGTTTTTAAAATGTAGACCTGACTTATNACTTGATTTTTAAAAAGGTCAAACTAAACCCTTGGTTTTATGTAATTTTCTCTAATCCAAATTCCAAAAGAAATATCGAAAGTTTCATCCATTTTAAATTTAAGACATAATGTTTAAAATTTCAAATTTGAGATTTTTGAAAGATTAAAATTTCAAATCTCAAAATTTTTTAAATTTATTTATAAATTAATTAATTAAATTTATTAAAGTCACAATTCCATATAATTTGGTCACAAATTTTATATAATTGGTCACAAATCATAAATTTTACATGTCACAAATTATTTTACGGTCATAATTTAAAAAATTTATAGGTCACAATTTGTTCATCACAAATAAAAAATTGAAACGTTACAAATTATTTTACCGTCACAATTCAAAAAATTTATGTCACAATTTGTTCATCGGTCACAAATTATAAATTTTATAAGTTACAAATTATTTTACGATCACAAATCAGAAATTTTATAGGTTACAAATTATTTTACGGTCACAATTCATAAATTTTATAAGTCACAAATTGTTCATCGATCACAAATAAAAAAAATTTACGTAACTTATTCATCGGTCACAAATCACAAATATTCTAATTCACCACTTAGTAGACAGTTACAGATTGTCAAATTATCGGTCACAATTTAACAATTTTTTAGGTCAAACATTATTTCTTAATCACAATCTATATTTCTCATTAGTCACATATTGTTTATCGGTCATAAATTAATGAATGTAATGGTCACAAACGACCAAATAATCGGTGACTACCACCGACACTTGTGACCATCACCTCACCACTACCACCAATAGCATGACTATCGAACCCCGACGCAGAAACCACCACCACCACTTCCCGGCAACAAACCATCATCTAAAAATACAGACATCACCATGACCGCCACTACCCACTCACAACCACCGCACCACCACCACCACTAATACAACCACCTCCATGTAAACTGAGTCAAATCTAACCCCTTTGTCCACTCTGAAAATGGGTATATTTGGGTGCACCGAGTTAGCCAAAAGGTGCACTAGCCACACAGACTTTGATGCACCAAAAAAGGCCTGCAAAAGTGGCTCAGACCAAGCCCTGCTCCACCCTAACATAGCCACAATTTCACTCATTTTCCTATCACAAAACTTACTGAAATCTTCACTAAAACTTACTAGTGTTGCTACAAACTTCAAGCCTAGATTTCAAGATATGGCAGTAAATTTCTAGCTTGTTCAGCTTCTTTTCGAGCTCGGCCATTGAATACTTCAATTTTGAAGCTTCGAGAATGGCTTCATCTCTCTTTTTAGTAGCTTTAATCAGTTTATTCGAAAGCTCAGCCACCGCGATTTAAAATTGCAAAAATCATGTTTTTACTTTTTATTAATTAATTAAATATTTAATTGTGCAATTTGGTCACATATATCTTATTAATTGGTTAAAAACTAATTTCAGGTCACAGCTTATCAAATTAATTGATCACGGATTATTTCAAAGTCGCAAATCAAAAAATTTATAGGTCACAATTGATTTCGTTGGTTACAAATTAAGAATTTTATGGTCACAAGTTATTTCTCAACCATGAATTAAATTTTTTTATTGATCACAGATTAAAAAAAAAATCAAAACTTTTTCTGAGTCACAGTCACAATTTATATGTCATAGACACCCACCCCAACTTATCTCATCCCCCCTACGATCGTCACCACGAGCACACCCACAGCCATTGCACACAACCAACAACAAAATCCCTGTTACCAGATCCAATCGACCTCAAACAAAAACCGTGACAATCTCCAGCACCAATAATATCACCGTCACCACCACAACCAATATCCCAACCACCACCAAAATATTAGATCCACAGGACCACCACCACCAACAAAATCACTGCACAACCACCACAAAATAAAGATAAAAATCACCACCACACAGTGCCACATCGTTTTGAAATGAAGAAATGACAGAGAATCATCAATGGAGAAATACACGAAACCACCTGGCGAATACGTCACGAACGATCCAAAACTCTTCCCACCACACACCCACAGCAGTAGCGTCGAGGCGCTGCTAAATTGCAGCAGCGCCTCGACGCTATGAAAGGTAGCTCGCGACGCTGGCCGATAGTGGTGTCGCGACGCTGCTGTGAATCACAGCAGTGTCTCGACGCCAGTAGTCGCGCGCGACGCTGCGTCACAATAGCGTCAGCGTCGCTGGGTAGAGACATGAGGGAGGGGGAGGAGAGGAAAGGAGAGGAGAGAAGGAGAGGATACGAGAACGTCGGCAATCGCGTCGCTGGGTGGAGGGGGAAGGAGAAGGTGAGGAGATGGGAATGATAAATTAGGGTGGAGACGGGATTGATAAATTAGGGTTTTAATATACTGCCTGATATTTGCAAAAATAAACTTGAAACCTAATGTTTTTAAAATGTAGACCTGACTTATTATTTTTAAAAAGGTCAAACTAAACCCTTGGTTTTATGTAATTTTCTCTAATCCAAATTCCAAAAGAAATATCGAAAGTTTCATCCATTTTAAATTTAAGATAAAATGTTTAAAATTTCAAATTTGAGATTTTTGAAAGATTAAAATTTCAAATCTCAAAATTTTTTTTAATTTATTTATAAATAAATTAATTAAACATATATTTTATTAATTAAATATATTAAAATCACAATTCCATATAATTTGGTCACAAATTTTATATAATTGGTCACAAATCATAAATTTTACATGCCACAAATTATTTTACAGTCACAATTCAAAAAATTTATAGGTCACAATTTGTTCATCACAAATAAAAAATTGAAACGTCACAAATTATTTTATCGTCACAATTCAAAAAATTTATGTCACAATTTGTTCATCGGTCACAAATTATAAATTTTATAAGTCACAAATTATTTTACAATCACAAATCAGAAATTTTATAGGTCACAAATTATTTTACAGTCACAATTCAAAAATTTTATAAGTCACAAATTGTTCATCGGTCACAAATTAAAAAAAAAAAATTTACGTAACTTATTCATCGGTCACAAATCACAAATATTCTAATTCACCACTTAGTAGATAGTTACAGATTGTCAAATTATCGGTCACAATTTAACAATTTTTTAGATCAAACATTATTTCTTGATCACAATCTATATTTTTCATTAGTCACACATTGTTTATCGGTCATAAATTAATGAATTTAATGGTCACAAACGACCAAATAATCGGTGACCACCACCGACACTTGTGACCATCACCTCACCACTACCACCAACAGCATGACTATCGAACCCCGACGCAGAAACCACCACCACCACCTCCCGGCAACAAACCATCATCTAAAAATACAGACATCACCACGACCACCGCTACCCACTCACAACCACCGCACCACCACCACTAAAACAACCACCTCCATGTAAACTGAGTCAAATCTAACCCCTTTGTCCACTCTGAAAATGGATATATTTGGGTGCACTGAGTTAGCCAAAAGGTGCACTAGCCACACAGACTTTGATGCACCAAAAAAGGCATGCAAAAGTGGCTCAGACCAAGCCCTGGTCCACCCTAACATCGCCACAATTTCACTCATTTTCCTATCACAAAACTTACTGAAATCTTCACTAAAACTTACTGAAAACTTACTAGTGTTGCTACAAACTTCAAGCCCAGATTTCAAGATATGGCAGTAAATTTCTCGCTTGTTCAACTTCTTTTCGAGCTCGGCCATTGAATACTTCAATTTTGAAGCTTCGAGAATGGCTTCATCTCTCTTTTTAGTAGCTTTAATCAGCTTATTCGAAAGCTCAGCCACCGCGATCTTCCACTGCTCCTCCATAGACACGGTGGTGTTCAACGAATGCCTTAACATTTAGGTTATCGGGTTCGATAGACAGCGCCTCTCTCAAGTCACTTCGCGTCGCAACGAAGAGAGGATGAGAGGTGAAAATAGATAGAGAAGTGAGGTCGTGCCAGCGAGGTGGTGTCGGCTGTGTGGTGGTGACGGCGGCGGATAGACATGGAGATGAGAGAAAACAAGGTGATGAAATAATTAGGGTTTTGGTTGGGATATTTAGGATTTTGTAATTATGATTTAGAGAGAAAATATAGATTAAATAGATGAATTAATATCTGATTTTTGTATAAATAAAGTTTATATCTGGAATTTGAAATTGAAATTTTAAAATTCTGATTTTTTGTACCACTAAAATGTTTGGCTCATTGGGCTACTTTCACTTATCCAGAAAAAATATTTGTTTGGCTTATTAGGTCATTTTCATTTATCCTGAAAAAATATTTAGGCATTGTATGAGAGGGATCAAAATCGGATTAAAATTGAAAATATAGCCGTTATTGTTGACTTTTATTAAACGGGTGGGGCCCAATAACGGCCATATTTTCAATTTTAATTGGATTTTAATCACTCCCGAACGGGGCTTAATCCATGTTTGATTCCTCTAAATAATTAGGGTCCGTTTGATTGTAAGAGTGAAAAATGGGTGGAAATAAAATGATTTTCAGGGAAAGTAATTGTCTAAAAATTATTTTACAGGGAATTGTTAATTAAATGTGTTTGATTTGTATAATTTTACACCCGAAAATTTTTAAAATTTTCTATTCGTTTGATTTTATTTTACATGGAAATTATCCATTAAAATGATAATTTTTTCCACGATTGGTTATAAAATTTGTTTCAATTACCAAAAAGTAAAAAAAAATTATTTCCTAAAAAATCGTTTTTCCATCAAAGTTTAGTGTTCGTTTGACTTTGTTTTACATGAAAATTGTCCATTAAAGTGAATTTTTTTTTACAATTAGTTATGAAATTTGTTTCCATTATAAAAAAAAAAAAATTCAGAAACCTGAAATTCAGTTTTCCCACCAAAAACCTTTTCATCAATTGCGTGGAAAAAGGAGCCCGTGGGTTCAAACATGGAAAACATAAAAATTTAATTTTTATTTATACCAAACAGGGACTTAGTGCTTGTTTGATGAAATTTTATCAACTTTTCAACAGATCAAACTTCAATTTTAACCACATATTTTATGAAATTCGCAATTTTTATCATAAGCTTTGTCACGCTACCCTTAATCTCTTTGTACCAAATATTAAATTATGCCCCATGTTGGGCGTAAATTAAAATTAAGTTCGAAATAAATTTAGCTAAAAGTTGATGAAATGTGTAGTTAAATAGTCCATAAAATATATGGTTAAAAATAATTGACTTTAACTTGAAAATTTAAGTAAATTCTAAACCAAACACGAGATATATAAAAAATAATAGCATTGTAATCTAACTCACAGAGCATGGTTGTGAAGAAAAACAAGAATTACTTATTTTCGTTCTTAATTTTCTTTGATACGCTCAAATCAAACATGAACACGTTTGGTAATATTATGATTCCCTCTGGCCATTCTTCGGATTTATCCACTAAAAATAAAAATGGAGGAGGAGAAATGTAAGTAACTAATAAAAGATAATAAGGTATTTAACTTTTAAGCATAAACTCCACGATTGTGAAGTAGCACTTGATTATTGATGGACAATCAAGGCAATTCACCTAAGCCTGACTTACAATTGATTATGTTCCATGTACACAAATAACATATTAGCTAGAATTTGACTCTGTAGCATTTAGACAAAAGTTAGCACAACGCGAATTCAAAGTTTCTCCTCGCCAAAGAAAATATGAGGGTTTGATTCTGTTACGTTTAAATTACAAATTATGGAAATAATATGGTAGATTGGGAGTTGCCAACAGACTGATGATTCTCATATGGGGTTTCGACAGACAAGAAAGTCAACCAAAGCCAGTGGTGAACTTTATACCAACGGACAATTCACATTCTGCATTACTATTTCCATGAGTATACGAGGAACCTCCAATGGCACGACTCACAACTTTCACGGGAAATGCATGTAAACTGATATTTTGAGTGCATTTTATGAGCAGTCTAGAAATACCATTTTGGTCTTAAGTCCATTTCTTTCTCCGTCAATTCCCTATACTGATACCACTCCCCTCCAGCATTCCCGACTGGTAAAGGAGGCCGAACAAAAATCTCTACTGGCTTGGGAACATGGACTAATAAAGATAGCTCTTCAACCGTTTCTCCTTCACTTGAATCAGCAGTTCTAAGAAACTGGTTTACTGGTTCAACCGAAATCCACCCAAGACCGGATATAGCCACATCACAAGCCGGCCTATGGAAGCAAGAGGAGGAGGAAGAATAAGTCTTAGTCATACAGTCGATGCATCAGCATCTATTATAAATTTACTACCAGCAAGAAATTGTTACGACTTAAGCACAACTTTTTCCTCACTTCTCAAAATCTTTGTACTTTATTTCCAACTCCCGCTTAGTTTCAAGTCCCATCCAGTTGTCTAGCTTCTGTTTTCCAGTAGGCGGTGTCAATAGAACTCCAACTTCTTTCTGCAACAAGAAATTGGAAGCGTCAACCCTTTAACACATAAATTAAATCATAATCTAGAAAGATTGTGGTCATATCGGCATTACATTTTACAGCCACCAAGCAATCCCCATCTACTTAGCATGGATCAAGGATCAATAAGACGTTTCTCATCCATATAACTGCGTCGTAACGTCTTTTGAATCCCCTTCTCCCACAACATAAAGTTTTGATATGTTTCCACCATAGAATACAAAACCCTTTCATTTTCAAGAATATGGAAAAGAAACTCGAGTATTTCCAGAGCATAAGATTTTCAATAGACTGCTTCTAATTCCAAATCTTCTTGTGCAATAATTTGAAAACAAAATACTTAGTTAACAAAATTTCTTATAGATATGATTAAATCGAATCATTATTCAAGGAAAAGAACTAATTACGTACCAAGAAATTTTGTAAGTTCTCCACTTTCTAAGTATTAGCTCGTCGTTCACAAAGGAATTGCTCAGGTGAGAACATTTACAATGAATGGAGTGGAATAGGATTCTTTTTAATATCAGATTTTGCTGATTAACATTAAAACTATAATCATGATTTAAGGGCACATAAAGCCTTACCTCCCTTATGGTAAGAAAATCAACCAAGGCATTAAACTTAGCCCCTGTTTGGTAGCCTTTAATTTATTTCTCATACTCATTTTTAATCACACATTCACACAACAAAATATTCTACACAAAAACCTAAATTTTTTTCTACTTTTTAACTACACATTCTCCAAAAAATACTATTCAAAACATAGTTTTTTTTTTTCAAATGAAAGGCCACCAAACAGGGGATTAACATCCCCAACATTAACTATGAATACCGGTAACAAGTTATCTTGCTAAAATTAGTTGGAGAATGTTAATTCATGTTCCTCTTTCCTTTCCAAAATAACTGGAACTTAAAGCCACTGCAAGACGACACCACATAGTTGACAACAATTTTTTTCTTGAGAAGGGTCACCATGCACTGCAATTGTTCTATCTGGTATTGCTATGAAAACAATAATAATTTTATTAATGAGTCACTTAAATTTATAGGCTTTCACAAATAAATATTTAGAGTATATGGAACCTTTTGGACTGTTGAGAATTCTGTCGTTCTGGGGATTTAGGTGTAATTTTAGTGAACCGTCCTAAAGCCAAAGGTACAAATAAATTGAAACCTGAATTGTTTTCCCCTTGTATGAATGTGGCACTAGTGTTGCTTGGCTACTCGTGGGATCTTTGAATAATAAATTATGTAAAATAAGTGTTCTACAGCTACCAATGGAATTATATAGTGCCCTGTGCACCACTGTGCCTTGACTGGGGAATACATGTTATTTTTTTGGTTTCTTAGCTTCCCCTTCCCTTCTGGCGGTGGTAGTGGTCGGATGGGGGGTTTCCCTTTCTCGTATTATCCATACCACACCACTATATTAGAGATATGACTCAACCAACACAGCTGCAGATATACGACTCAACCAACACAGCTGCAGATGCACACGACACCAGAATTGCACATACCAGAATTCATTTCATGAACACTTTGAAACTTTCATAATGTGGCACAGCTCATGCACGCATATAGCAATAACCACCACCACTACAATAGTGTTATGTAAAATTACTTTAACCATTATTTATTTCAAATGTTACCTGGTAAAATTCATCTGCTTCTTCAGTGGGCACGATATGAATTTGCAGCGACCTAGGTCCATAGAATGTTAGACGTGTCTTTGGAAGAACCTGGAAGGATAAAAAGGTGGCAATGAATTGATAACTTGCAATCATTAACCAGCTCAATAAGCTAATTTTATGAGATCACAAAACCTTCATAAGATCAACTCTCACAAGACCACCCCAGAATATAGATAAACCATTCAAGCCATTTGATCCGAGTCGATCAGCAGTCACCTTGTCCAAGAGTAGCTGAGGATTCTAGTTTATATCAAAACAAACAAAAAGAAAAAAGAAAAGAAGAAGCATTTAACGGAGATGGAACCTGTTGAGAACAAGTACTTTGATGGCAACATGAAAACAAAGAACCTACCGGAAAAGATCGGCCTCGAATTTGACTCTGTGGAGCAAGAGCAGGTAGATCTTCTGAATGGATTACTGCAGCTTGCCTATGGTGGAGATGGACTCCAGGTGTATCATATAATTTCTAAAATAAAGAAATGTCAAATTTGAGGTTGTTCTAAATATGTAAGACTCATCCACCTACCACTCTGGTCTTTACTAGCATCTAACATACAAATACAAAAATGTTGATTTTATCAGCTAAAAACAAAAACATCTAAATGAACAAAAAGATCAAAAATGGATAAAAAAAAGTGCAAGCCAGTATTTATAGGGTTCAAAATTGATTTTGAGACATCCAAGGTATGCATAATGGTGAGGCTGAAGGTCATGAACCCTATTAGTTCAATGGATCTTTAATATAGGTCATAGAGAATGAAAAGTTAAAAAAATTGACTTTGCATAGAGTGGTGAAGTTCTAAGAGATTTTTCCTTGCCCTTCTTTTCATTGTCATGCATTTTCAACCCAAGTCATCCCACCTTCACAAATTTTACAATAAAAACATGCAAGCCGATAAATACAGAACAGTTGGATATTAATTAGATGAAACCAAGACTTACCCCTCCACCTAGGAAAGCATCAATCTGAATCGGACCCAAAGTAGTTCCAGGAACAGCAGATTGTATAGGTTTGTATTTTCTTGCTGCCGCAGCAACTGGGTCTTTGTATGACATCATTTCTGATAGCACAAGTAGAAGTTGAGAACAGGCAGAAGGAGAGGAAAGAAAGTAACTAATGGATACATATATGGTCAAAGAAACATAAGAAATGAACAGAAGATGATTTTGACAAAGTAGTAAAATTGACTTTGTTAGAATGTGTAAAGCATGTGATGCCAAGGTAACTGTTGGTTCAGAAACATACAAAACCAACCTTATCCTAAGTTAAATTAATATGAATGAAGGATGAGAGCTTTGGACAGTTCTCTAAGTAACATGCAATAGTAACCAAATGTAACAAACTGATGAACTTGACCAAGAAAAAGGAACTCCTTGGAACTGAAATGGAAAAGCAGATTCAAAGTTATTGAGAAAATATTTCCTTCTCGGAAATAAGCACGTCTGGGTCAATACGAATCATTTCTACTTTCATATAGCATTTATTGGCCCAACCTACAATCAATTTGCAGTCCACTACAGTCAGAAATGTGTCTCAATAGACAGTTAGCAAATAGAAGATTCCATAAGTTTAAAAAAGCAAATGACATATATTGGAAAAGGATAAGGGTCCAGATCTTATCTCCTAATGCTGTGCATAAAAATAATTACAGGAAAAATATAAGTAAAAACACTTCTAATTGTTGAGATGAGCTTACTCAATACAGCATTAATGAATGCAGATTTTCCAACGTTGGCTGAGCCCTGTAAAATCAATTTTGTGTAACAATCAAATTTTAAAATGAAAAAGAAATAAAATTCAAATTTTTAATTTTTTTTTTTAAAGAATTCTAAGCTTAAATTTATAAGGTCAAAAGGTGCATTTAACAAATATTAAGCACTTAGACTTGTATGTAGTACACGTGTGAGCATGAATGCATACATGCATCTACTTGTCAGCCTGCAGGAACGAATGCCACTCAAGCACATATATATCTGGATTGGCTGATCATGTCTCAGACTAATGGTTAGAAATATAATGAAGAGAAGATACATATCAGAAACATAAAGCTCACAAGTCACACCTGAATAGCATAAGCATATATTCACAGAATAAACTTGACTGAGATTTTAGAAGCATCAGAATATACAAGGTATATCACATTCTACGCCTCTTCAAATACAGTGAACAGGCCACGGACCTATTCCTTCTGACATTTACGGCCTTCAATTTAAACTTCAAATGATGCTAGATAGAAAAAGATTTTTTTAGATATAAATATAATTTATGAAATACACATTGGAGAAATCCCGATTCCCTAGAGTAAGATGAAGTGGTGGTAATTGTATAGAATTTCTTAGTCTATATGCTGGTATCAAGGCTCTGTCTTAAGTCTTTATCTATCCAATTTAGTCATGAACAAGCCTATGAGACGTTCAAGATGAGGTCCTTTAGCTTGTGCTATGGGAAAATCTTTTGCTACATGTATCCTTTGATAACAATCTGCAATTGAATTTTTGAGGGCATATTTCTATAAAAGAAGGCTTCCTTATCCTCTGCAAGTTGAGTCGCTTAATCTTATCTTTTGTGTGTTATACATTGATGACATAATATTAATAGATAAGGTTAAGAGGGAGTTAAACAGTAAGTTGTAATTTGTCCGAGTACTTATCAACTTAAAGATTTAAGATAAGTAAAACAAAATCAGATTGCATAGAATGTCCTTTAACAAGAGTAGGAATAAGAATAATACTGGAATCATGATAGAGGATTGTGTTGTCCAATTTAGCCCGTTTGATGGGCATTATTTGGCAAAAACAATGTTTTGAATAGTGAATTTTTGGAGAAAGTGTGGTTAAAAAGTGGGAAAAAATTTATAGTTTACGTGCAGAATATTTGATTGTGTGAATGTGTGATTGAAAATGGGTACGTAGAATTTTTTTTTTTTGAAAAAAAGCCCATCAAACAGGGGCTTAGTGAATGTATTAAGCATTTAGGCTTGATCATTAAAAATAAAAGACTTAAGGCATCTGCATAGGATTAGGGAGGGCGAAAGAAGTGGAGAAGTACTACAAGATTTTATCGGATAGAAAAATATCTAACCTAAAAACCCACTCTAAAGAAAAATAATTACCCTTGATATGCTTGATGATACTGAGAGTTGGTTTGTTAAAGGACAAAAAGTTCATGATGTGAGCATAGCGGAAATGAGGATGGATATGAGTGCACGATGGAATGGATAAGATAAGAAACAAGAATATACGCATTTATGGAGGCGATAACAATTGAGACAATAGGAATGAAGACTTTAATAGTTGGGATGTGTCTTACACAGATCATGAGAAGCTCCACTTCACCATAGGGTTACAAACGTTAGTAGAATATGTTAGAACGGGCGGTAGAACAAGATTATGCAGCATGTTATAATTGCTAATGATCTAGTTGCATTTAATCTTATAGTAGACTTAGAAATACATTGAACAGATGGTGAAGAAGGATTAGTGTAGTTGACCCCAAGATATTTAGAATAAGACGTAGTTTGAAGTTAGTATATTATTTTGTTATAGTAATTTACTTTTGTAGCCATTATGAGTTCAAATGTAAGTGCAAGAGTGCTATGTCAACTACACAGATTACTTCTTCCATTTTTAATTTACTCTAATGCCATACTAGATTGAAAAATTCAAGAAAAAACAATCATAAAGTTGAATGAGATGAAAATTTGCTTTAAAAAGTTTAATAATCACAATATGTTTTCATAAGCGAGAAAATAAGCAAGTTGTAAAGTAAGAGAGCATCCAACTCAAGATTGGAACAAGGTGGAAACTCTGTTCTAAAATTATAATCATATATCAAACTTCATTAATCATCTTGATTTCCGTTTTCCAAGTAGTCGATGGACTCACCAGAATGTAGACATCCCTTCCCTGCAAATCAAAAATGCAATGTCAAAGCTTGTAACTGAAACAGGGGACCAAAATGAACAGATAGAGAGAGTGTGCCAAAGAAGGTGATTTGTCATGCAAGAATAATCCATTGCAACAATCAGTATATGAACATGTGCAGGTAATCCAATATCTTGTTAGATCGAGAATGAATCATACAACAATATATCAATAATCCATAAAACCAAAAATAGATATATGTGCTTAGTAATAATCTTTGTCTTGGTCTAGCTATTTAAATGGAATTTTATAGCCATCACAAGTCATGAAAGAATCACTAGCAGCCAAATTTAAGTTAACTTTTATTAGTGAAAAAGAACCAACCTTTTTCTCTCTCTGAATTTCCGACACCACTCCAGCAATTCCCACTAAAGACTTTGAACTTGTCAAATGAACGCTCATAACACTACAAAGTAAGCACACTTCTTTAACACTTTCAACATTTTCAGTATTAATGACCAGTATTCAAGAGTCACCAAGTGCTAAAACAAACAAAGAGAAATGAAAACTATTTAGCAAAAGGAAGCAGCAAAAACACAACTCAAATGAACATATACATATGAATCATCACTTCTTCAAAAAAATGTGCCATTATTACTCCACTTATAGCTATTATTTTCTTGATGAAACATCACCAAAAAATAGAGTAATGCTACACTTACAGATTGGGGCTTCACAGAAGCCCCACAGATCGCACACAAAAGAGGGGGGGATTTTGAACCAATTTTTAATCAAGTCGGGACCCATCTCATGTGAGGGTCGGTAAGAGATCTGTGAACCGACCCTTTGTACATTTGGCTTAATTCAAAAAATATTTTGACTTACTTAAGCCTCTTTTTCACAGTTGCCTCCACGACCCAGTCACCAACACAATTTAAATCAGTTCCTTTGGGAAGAAGATCAACCTTAATAAATAACGAAGTATAAGAAATATGTGAAAGAAAATTAACAAGAACATCAAAGAAAGCAAAACAGAAACAAATGACAGAGACAACAAGAATTTTAAAACTCATTTTCAGCACCTTCGTCACAACTAGTATGATGGGATTTGCACCAGCAAGGTCACGTGCCAAGAAACTGCCATTGAAGTCCACTATATCTACCTACATGTAACCAAGCATCAATTTCTAAGAAATGGAAGAAAGAAAAATAATATAATCTCAGTGGAAACATAAAGATTACCAATAGACGCGAAGGAACTCAAAACATAAACTAGGACGTAGGAAAGACAAACACTAATGTCAATTAGAACAGCAATATTCACTAGAAAACTGGTAAGCCAACTCTAAAACTTCAAAACCCTAAGTGTCGTATTCAATGACACTCAAGGAAAACTATAAATATTGACCAGCAACAGTAACCAAACAAGGAGAACTTACCAATTTAACGATTAGAGCTTTCTCGTGGCGCAAATGCGACAGCTTCTCACGCAGCTCCTCTGCCGTAACAAACTGCTTCCCACCAGAATAACCTCCATTCCCACCAACCGCAGTAATCATATGTCCGTGTGATAAAAGCCGGCACCTCCCACATAGCACGGTTCTCAGTTGCCTATGTTTCTTCTTCTACGCACCCCAAACATATTAATAAACAATCAAAAGTCAATTTTACTAAATTCAATCAAATCTACCATTAAATTTCAAAATACCATCCATACCCAAATTTCCATGTCAACCCTTATTAGTTCACTAAAAGAAAAAAATAAAAAAGTTCCCAAAGTTACATGTCTTATTATAGAATAAATCATACCAAATTGTACGTTTCCAGGTCCACATAACCCGGAGCATCCGTTTCGGAGGTCTGTAACGGAGCCCCACAACCGTAACAACTGTTAATTACATAAGAAGAAACTTTAAATACTTTCTCTTTCTTCTTCTTCGTTGATTCCTTGTTTTCTGTGAGAACTGCAGCTGAAGCATCTAGAGAGCTATGGCGTTCGAGGAAAATGTCGCCTCGGGTCGGGGCGGAGGGCCCGGCTCCATTCGGTTCAGGTGTGTAACATTGAGTGGATTTGCAGATGATAAAAGTGGGTTTTACAGTGTGGTATTTAGTAAGAGTGGGATTGAGGAGAGAGAATGAAGAGAGGGAAGAGAGGGATTTAGGCGCCAACGCCATGGACGATTGTGCTGGGAGAGTAGGAAGAAGATAGTCCAGTCCAGGAGGTGGAATAAAATAGATTTTTGTTTTCCACGCTTTTAGAGCAAAATTTCAGGGCAAAACCGACATGTCGCGTTTACAAATATAAGCAAACGCGTGTTGATATGTAATGGGGGAACTTAATCCCAAAATGAATACAATATGTACAGGGTGATTGGCACTACTCGAATGTTTATAGATTTTTTTACAGATTGATTATATGACAATAAATTAAATTAAAATTGTCAAAATCTCTTCACTGTTTAAATGGATAAATGCTTATGTAATGTGGGTAAATGACAAAAATAAATTGGGGGAATTTTTTATTATTATTTGATTTGTAAGATTTTGAGTCAGTTAAATCTGGTCACGTCATCTGTTGGTAAAAAAATTTGTAAATTGTGACGTAGATGTAGCACAATCCATATTCAAGAATCAACAAAAGATGAAAAACCCAAAAACTAGAAAATCAAACATTTTAGTAACTACATGCTTATACATTCTAGAATAAAATCAAAAACAAGTTCCTAACTCCATACTAATAAGTTTAAAATTCTAATACAATTTGTTGCAAATAATATAGTTACACACCCACTCCATCTGCATTTCCCCTAAAGGGATCAGGCACTGGAGCAGGAAAGACTACATTATCATGTAAAATCCCAGCAATGGCTGCTCCAATCAAGGGTCCAACCCAATAGACTGCTTGATTCTTAAAACTCCCTCCAACAATGGCTGAACCGAACGAGTAGGCCGGGTTCATGGATCCACCGGTAAACGGTCCTGATGCAAGAACGTTGGCCCCTGCAATAAGCCCAATTGCCAAGGGGCCGATGGCACCTCCAGAAACCGGCCTCAGGTTCGAGGCTACGTAAACCGTGTACACCAATGCAAAAGTCATAACACCCTCTAGCACTGCACCTCCAAAACCAGTCATTTCATGTTCTATTGCATGAGTTGGAACATGCTGCAAAACAATTTTGAAGTATCTGTTAGAAGAAATGTGAAATTTGAGTCACCAAGATGTAACTTTCCATCTATGCATCCAATGGGTAGTCGATAGGAGCATGTTTAGTACGTTGTAATCAATAGAATTAGTCGGTTAATTAAAATTTTTGTCCGTTTATCTGACAAATATATAATCACTTTTTGACACACTTAAACATGCTCTTTCAGTGTCGTACCTGTCCTGCGGTGGTTGCTTTTAATAGCAGGCATGCCATAACAGAGCCAAACATTTGCGAAATCGAATAGAAAATAGCCATAGGAATACTAATATGGCCTCCCACAGCCATTCCAAATGTAACAGCAGGATTCACATGGCCCCCGGAAATATTGGCAGAAATGTAAACTGCAACTGATAGAGCAAACGCATTCGCAACAGCAATTGCTACCAGACTCGACGAATCCGATGCTGCATCCGGCATCATTTTCCCTGTTTTTATGACATCAATTAACACCAATAAGAAATCATGTATAGGGAAAATGTACGATCCATGATCGAACGAAATGGATTAACAATTAATTTCCAAATTATAAATCAAGAAAAGGGGCTTACTCGAAGACATTGTTGCCCCCGCAGCAGCAAAGACGAAGAAGAATGTAGAGATGAACTCAGCAAGATACGATCTAAGAGCAATGGCAGTGACTGAATGCTCCAAACGGGATTTTAGAGACGCCATTTTTGCAGAAGAAATAATCAGTTTTTCCAACTTTTGATGATGTTTTACTTTTTTGATAGAAGAATAGTTTAGAAGCGGTTTAGAAATATTGGAGGGAAGTGAATTTAAATTTTAACTGTCATGACAAGCGGCTGCTAGTGATTGGCTTGCTCGGCTACTGCAGTTTGCGAAAAATAGGAAGGAAAAATAAAAAGAAATGATTAATTCACCACCGAGAGAGATAAATTGCACCTAATCATCATTTCATGATAAATTTGCTTATAGAAAAGTTAAATTGTTGCGTGGCTCACAAGTAACGTGAGGTTAACTCCGTCTTAGTCGGAAATTAAGAGAACCTTTGTGATCGTCACATAGTGCATTTAGTTTGAAGTTCTTTATAAATTGATTTTTTCCTAATATTTTGATTGTATATTGTTTCTCTCATCATCAATGAGTAAGCATCTGTAATGACCATTATACCTCTTATTGCATTTCCCCAAACACTACCCAATTTATTTCGGTATGTGATCATAATGAAGGGGACATATCGGTCATTACAACAACAATTGATCACTGAGATTAGGTTAGAAGTCAATATTTTCATCATTGATATGTCAACACAATCTAAATTATTTTTTAATGGACCCACACTTCGGTACCAAAGAATCCACTTTTTGCTAAAAACCAGTACAAGACTACCGACAATAAATTTTAACATTTTCACACGTAACACGTGTTATATTACTTTTTCACGAGACCAACACCAAAATGTACTTTGAAATCCTTCATTGAAATACAATTGTAGTCAATCGAACCAAATTATTATTTCAAATTTATAAGTTGAATAATTATTATTGATCTCCAATATTAAACGACTCTTATAAGTAAGTACATACATAAGTTAGTACATACTTTTCTACCTTGTCGTTAATGGTAGAAAACAGGATTACGGCTTATAATAGTCCAACATTCAATACATCACATGCACTTTAAAGTCCAAGTTCTATGGGGGTAAGCATTAAGTGACCACGACTGATGGTGATATCCAGCAGTCAAGTTGGACTGCTAGTAAGAAAATCTGATTATTGTAAACCCCAGAGATTCGTTTCGTGGTCTAACTTTGATTTACTCGTTTGATTTATTCGAGACTGATTTAAAATAGACACATTTGATCCCCTACTCTCTCCATACGAAAATCTGAAACAAATTCATGGCTGTTATGGTTGTAGCAACAAGCGAAGGGGGGCAATACAATGGCAAGATTACATGGTTTGTGTTGCTATCTTCTCTTGTTGCTGCAACCGGGGGGATAATCTTCGGCTATGATATCGGAATTTCAGGTGGAGTGACCTCAATGGAACCATTTCTCAAGAAATTCTTTCCAGAAGTGTACCATAAGATGAAGGAAGATAGTAACATTAGCAACTACTGCAAATTTGATAGCCAATTGCTGACATCTTTCACCTCATCGCTCTATGTAGCTGGCCTTGTTGCTTGTTTCTTTGCTTCGACAGTAACTAAGGTCTTTGGGCGCAAGCCGTCAATCCTCATAGGTGGTGCTGCATTTCTAACCGGTGCTGCACTTGGCGGTGCTGCTAATAATGTATACATGTTAATATTTGGTCGAGTTCTTCTTGGAATTGGTGTTGGTTTTGCTAACCAGGTGTGTACTCTTTTGTCAAGATCTGCCACTATTGGTTCCATGAATTTCTATCCTGCACAAGAAAATGAAATAAGTTACTTATTAGAAGTTACAAAAGGGTATTTCCTACACGCTGGATGCTAACAGAAAAATAAGTAAATAATAAGAAATACGAGCAAAATCTGAATTTTTCCAGTTTGATCATCGCTAACATATTGCAGTTATTCTGATGCTTGCAGTCAGTCCCCTTGTACCTTTCAGAAATAGCACCAGCAAGGTATAGAGGAGCTTTTAACATGAGTTTCCAACTCTGTGTTGGCATTGGTGTTTTCTCGGCCAACCTCTTAAACTATGGAACTGCAAAGATCAAAGGAGGCTGGGGATGGCGAATTTCCCTGGCGATGGCTGGGGTCCCAGCTTTAGTTCTGACTGTAGGGTCATTATTCCTTCCCGAGACGCCCAACAGCTTAATTCATCGTGGCAATGGTCATGAAAAAGCCAAGCGGATTCTGCAACGAGTACGAGGCACAGATGATGTCCAAGAAGAACTCGATGATATGATAGAAGCAAGCAATAAAGCAAAAGCCATAAAACACCCATTCAAAAACATCATACAAAGAAAATATAGGCCTCAACTCATAATGTCCATAGCAATACCATTCTTCGTGCAAGTGACGGGTATTAATGTGATCTCCTTCTATGCACCAGTACTCTTCCGAACAATTGGTTTGGGTGAAAGTGCATCACTCATGTCTGCAGTGGTAACTGGACTAGTTGGTACAAGCACAACGTTCTTATCATTGCTGTTGGTCGACAAATTTGGTAGAAGACTTCTATTTTTCATAGGTGGAATTCTAATGTTTATTCCGCAAATGGTGATTGGAGGTATAATGGGAGCTAAGTTAGGGGATGAAGGTGGATTAAGCAAAGGATATGGCATTTTGATTCTGATTTTGATCTGCATATATGTTGCTGGCTTTAGTTTGTCATGGGGTCCATTGGGATGGGTCGTAACGGGTGAAATTTTCCCACTGGAAATACGGTCAGCTGCGCAGAGCATCAATGTTGCTATTAATTTTCTCTTCACTTTCCTCGTTGCTCAAGTTTTCCTAACTATGCTCTGCCATTTAAAGTCTGGAATTTTCTTCTTCTGGGGAGGATGGGTGATAATAATGACCGGATTTGTTTATCTTTTTCTACCAGAAACTAAGAATATCCCTATCGAAAAAATGGATAAAATCTGGAGGGAGCATTATTTCTGGAAAAGAATTGTTTTGAGTAATCAAGACCATGAAGAGATCAAGATTGAAGGAGCGTGATTTTTATTATAGTGTAAAGTCACAATTTCATATTCGTATACTCGTTATAATACAATAAGGACTTAAACTGTGAAGTCCCCCATTGTAAAACAGATAGATTTTATTGTTATCTGCTGTATCATTTCAAACATGAAGCTTCTATGCTGTCCATACAATGGAAAATAACTTTCTATGGCACATCATGAAGGATGCCGACAGGACGAGCCAAAGAAGCAGCATTCCACATGAGAATATAAGAACTAAGAACAAGTCCAATATTCCAACCAATTACCTCTAAAAATGGAATCTACTCCACCTTCAATTCACTGCAACTTATTATGTTAGTGTTAGTCCTCAACCCAGAAAGCACAACCAACAAAAAATAGTGAGTTCCTTGAACGATGTAGAAGCCCAGAAATTTCATAGAGAAGTCCATAAACAGTTATGTATATGTGAAGGAGCATCGATGAAAGAAGTTAGAAAGTGGAATTATACTATGAGAGTCATATTTCTGCTTTATTTTCAAAATAGCACAAGTTTTTTTCTCATCACATATTCACTTTCCAGATTAGCAACATAGTAGCATGATTATCAAAATGGAAGGACGCGATCATCATTTAACTTCAAGTTCTTCTGCCGCAATGATGTCTTGCAGTTGCTGCATCAGAGCCTTTGGCAAAGATATTAACAATCAGTACAAGGCAATTTGACATCAGAGCAACCTCCTAAAGTATGTACAGAATTCCAAACTTAGGAGCTACGGTAAGCTACCAGAGCTCTGTGGTTGATGTGAATCTGAAGTGAAAAGCGTCTGTCTTCTCCAAAACAGCTAGTCTGGGAAAAAGAAACAAATGTTTCAAAGAAAAATGTTAGAGAATAAAGACGGAATAAATTTATCATATCCTAATTTGTAACATTTATAGAAGTTTGATTTGCAACATTAGCAATTGAATTAGTCTTCACTTTTCTATAAAAAGAAATTTATTGAAATTGGATACCATTGTCCTATTAAGTGGCATAAATGTCATTAAAAAAATCACAAGGTACACATCAGTGTGATTTTCCCACTCAAATAAACAACGAAACGACTCACACTTCTTAAATGACTGTAGACATGAATTTGCTCCTAGTGAGGGCAATTTCAGTCAAATGTCCATCGTCCTTGACAGAATATTACATAAAAGTCAGGAAAAAATTCACAAGGTACACATCAATGTGATTTTCCTGCTCAAATAATCTTAACTACCTTATACCCTCAATTCTTAAAATGATTTAAGACACAAATTTGCTCTTAGCGAGTACAATTTCAGTCAAATGTCCATTGTCCCTGGCAATCAGTTATATAAAGTATACAGTTCTGTACTATTTATCAACAGATTAATCTCTATAATAATAACATGGCAAAATTGCCATTTCCTGCTTATAATGCGCACATTATATAAACTCCTTCCTCCTCCTCCTCCTTCTTGTGCAATTCGTTGTTGTTCAATCAGGTAATTCATCTAAACATTTTCTATTTTATTTCTATTGAAATAAATGTTTTAATGAATTTTTTTACCTCAAATTTTGTATATGATATTGTCCGGTTCATTTTTCAGTTTCAGGTCTCCGTGTGATTTTTAACTTATGCTGGTAAGTTCTTCTAATTTTTAGCTCTATATCTGATAGTTGAGGTTTATTTTTTATTTTCAGCTTTTTATGAGTTTTGTGATAATCTGCAATCACTTAGGGGCCGTTCTCTTCGGGTTTCAGTTTTGTGTTTTGAAATCATTTTGTATTTTGTATTTTGAGTGTTCATTTTGAGATTATTGAAAACTCGTTCTTTTTGTCATTTTGTAAAAACATTTCTCAAAACATTCACTCCCAAAATTCGTTCACATGGTTTTCTATTTTCCCATTCTCCAAAATCGCCCCTCCAGAGCCACCGTTTCTACCTCACAAACCGGCCACCATCCATCGTTTCTACCTCACAAACCGGCCACCATCCACCACAACATCATTCTAACCCCCTGACCCGACCTCTCTCTACAACGTCCACCGATTAATCGACGGAAAATCAGCCAGAATCAGTCAAAAAAATCGTAGTAGCACTCACTGTTTAGACCTATAAACACAGTCGCCGGCCACTTTT